AAAATTTAAAACAACTGATAAAAAATCTTGGATAAAAACTAAAAATAATCATTGTTTAAATAAAAAATGTACTATTACAAAAATGTTTTATATATAAAGTACATGAAAATAAATAAATTCAAAAGCCCTCCCCCCCAACCTCTCAAATATACACATGATTGCAAATGGTTAAGATCTACTCTTCCCATCATTTTTACCAAAAAACAAAACATAATGTAAAAGTAGATAGATCAAGCTGCAAAAATAACTCTCATGGTATTTTTGAAATTTTGTCAATCTCCAATCACAAATTAGATCTAATGATTGTGAGTTAATTAATATTATAACGAACAAGTCTAAAAATTACCATTATTTAAAAAAAAAACTGAAATGAAGGAAAAATACAATAAATTGCAAAAAAATATCAATTATAAAATCAATTTTGAAAAAAATCTTCCTAATTAAATTTTAAAACCAGCTATACTAAATTTAACAAATATTAATCTGGATAAGGCAACCACTGAACTACTTAATCTTGGTCCAAAGTTTGTCTCATCACAAAAGAATATCCTTTATATGGATATCATTACTAATATTGAAACTTGTGCCTTACAACTCGAACAACAAAACAAACACAGGCAGAGATTCTTCGACAAAACTGTTTGAAAATCTTAACTAGTTCTTTAAAATCAAAATAAAAGATAATTTAACAAAACAACAACACTTTTCTCTACAAAACCTAAAAAAACATTTACATCTAAAGATATATCCATATGATAAAGGAGCAGGTTTTGCTTTATTATACGAAAATGAAGCAAAAGATAAATTAGAGGAATAAATAAAAAATAGTAAAGTTATTGATTACGACCCAACACCTACATTCACTACTAAATTTCAAAAACTGTTATGTAAATTAAGAAAACAGGGTAAGTTAAACAACTCCACTTACTTTAAAACTTCGATTCAAAAGAAAAACAAGAATTGTTTCTTAAAACTTTAATTAACCCCTCCATAAAATATACTGTTGAACTTGAAAACGAAAGAAAACAACTAAACTTTTTAGATATTTCTATTACAAATACAATGAACAAATTTTATGAATTTCAAGTACACCGAAAGGATGCAACAACCAATGTTCAAATAAAACCAAACTCTAACATCAACCCAAACATTATCACTGGCGTCTTTAAAGGATTTCTATGTAGAGCAAAACAAATCTGCTCTAAAAAACATCTCTCACAAGAAATTGATTTCCTCATAGATACATTCTTTCAAAACGGTTATAACAAAATTTATCTTATTAAAATAACCAAAAACTATTTAGACCGCATTTCAAAAAATACAACACCTATACAATTAGATAAGCAAATTTTAACTACCTTATATATATATTATAAATATACCTATTAAATATTATTATATTATTATATATATATTATTATATATATATTATATATTATTATATATATATTATAAATATGCCTATAAATAAATATACCTATTATAAAAGCAACAGTTTAACTACCTTGGATACCTGTTATTGGTCCTAAACTCTGAAGAGAATTTAGATAACAAAACATCAGAGTTATATTTACTTCACCCCCAATTTAAATAACATACTATGTAATAACAAAACAAAATTACCTCCGAACTTAAATCCGGGTGTTTATCAACTTAAATTCTCATGCGGAATTATAAATATTGGTGAAACCAAAAAGAAAATCACTTCAAGTAGTGTGGAACACGGAAGAGCCTGTAAAAATCAAAAATGGTCGAGTTCTGGAGCCATGGAACATTCTAGAACATGCCGTGGTACTTTTGATTGGCTGAATCCTAAGACCTTGGCAGTAGGGATGTACCGAAGCTTCGGCTTCGGCATGCCGAAGCTTCGGTTTGGCCGAAGCCAGGTCAGTTTTTTGCCGAATCTTTAGCTTCGGCAAAAAATTTTAAGTAATTAAAGTTATAAGCTACTGTTTTACAAGTTATAAAAATATGCTAATTGCCAGTGTCTAAATTCAGGACTACAGAGTTAAAGTTGGAGTCTATACCATATACTTAGTATTATTTACTCCCAAATGTCTTGTTATGGAGGGGATGATAATAAATAAGTAGAAATATTTTGAATATAATTGTAAAATTAAGGAAGGTCCTCATACAATTTGAAGGCTTCCAAGTGTGACTTTAGATGAACTGAATCAGCATTTTTATGCAGAATAAAAACCTTATAATTTAAAACAAATTAAAACTTTTTAAAAATAAAATGGAAAAAAAACCTTAATTTGTATTATGTAACGAATTTATATTAATTTTTGTGTGGAATTACCGCAAATAGAACAAAAATTCGTTTCAACATTTGACCTATAAACCTTAGTAATCTCACTTTAAAGAAGATTAAAGATACGTTGCTACTATTTTAAATTCTGTGTATGTTTAATTTTTTTAAATTTTATTTAACCATAATAATAAAAATTTACAAATTTTCATCCTAAGATTACAGAAATTGGTTAGGTGTCACTTATATAGTTACAAACTAGTTAATGGAGTAACACATAAAAAACATAAAGTTCTCAACAAGAAAAAAGGAAGAAAAGCAAATGAAATATAAATGAGGAGAATAAAAAAAGAAAAAAAAAGTCAACCAAAACTATATAAATTAAAAGAAAAAGAAAAACAATTATAATAATTATCCTTGCTTTTTTATTAATATTATGAATACTTCTAAATTGAATTTATATATTAAACATATAAACTGATATTCTTCTTATGATATGAAGACTTTTAAATTTTATTTAAAATAAATTGAAGGTTAAAGCTTTGATTACTTTGAGCTCTTATATTTATCATCAAAATTTATTTAAATTAAATAAACAATTTAAATCAAATAAATATCAGCCTGCTCAGTCCCTGTTTATTTATAAATATAAAGTAAATAATAATATTATTATAAATAAAAAATTTATAAAGTATTCTATTTATTATTTTATTTAAAGCTCATTCTACTGAGTTGTTAGATTACTATAGAAGTTTTTGTCACAGATAGTTAATATTTGATTTCAGATACTGATGCAGATTTATCCATTACAGAAAAAGAAGAAGAATGAATACTATAATTTCAGAGTGTAAAAGATTAATAGAAGCTTAAGAAAATGTTATGTAGTGTAAAATTAAAAATAATAAAAAAACAACAACAACTTAAAAGTGTGTAAAAAAGAAGTTAGAGAGAAATCTATCAATTGTACTTTTTTTAGCAGCAGGTTCAAAACAGTTGTAGTGGAATACAAAATGGTCTTAACTTAGGTTTTTTTTTAAGTTTAGAAATTGTTTGTTTAATGAATACAGAGAAGTAAAAAAAAGATATTGAAATAAACAGCAATAAAAAGATAAAGTGTGTTTGTAAGATTTTTTATGTTGTAGATCAGCTAGATCAGCTAAGATCACTAGATCAGCTAAGAGTGTTTATTTAGAGAAAGAATGTTCAAGTGTAAAAGATAAATTTACTTGAGATTGAGATATTCAGAGATTTTTATCCACTCTTAACAAAAGGTGCATTAAAAATAAAAATAAAATATACAGCACATGAAAAGATGCGTAACAGTAATTTATGGGGAATAAAATTTGAGGATGTTCAGCTAGCACACGATAATTAGATAGAGCAAACAAGATGATTAAATAGAGGATTAAAAATTAGATGATTAGATAGAGGATTAAAGAGAAACAATGTTTACATAAAAGAACAGTATGGCTATAAAAGATCAAAAAAAACAATCTTAGAAGAATATTGGGAATAGTTGGAAATATATGTGAGTTACTGATATTGTGCACTATATAACATTAATATGGTTTGCACACAAAAAAAGTAGAACTAGAAGTAGGAAAATTTGGGGAGAATGTTTCAAAAAAGCTTAAGTTTAAAAAAAAAACACTAGGTGCGGTGAAGTATCAGAAACGACATAATGAGAAACTTTCAAACAGGGGCGCTGAAAGCTTTTGCCCTGTCTGGGGCAGCAACCCTGACTTGTGTCCTCATTTTTATACATTTTTTCTATACTATTAGTCAATGATCTTAGTTTTGGAACCTTTTTTGTTTTACACCCCTGCTGATCTGAATGCTGATTAAATTTTAAGCATATATAGTGCCGAAGCTTCGGCAAAATTTTAGCTTCGGTACATCCCTACTTGGCAGTCATTCAAGAATACAAGATAAAAAAAAATTAGAGAATCCTTAGAGATAAATAAAGCAAAAGTTCGACACGGGATAGGTATGGGGCAAACTGTTCTAAATAGAGATGACGGGGATAATGTGAAAACAAAAACTTGGGGAACAATTTTGACAAAAATTTAACTGATGTCACTTTTATATTATTTGATTGGTTTTTATATTTTATGCTTTTTAATGTCTTCTTTTTAAAATAGTTGGTTTTTTGTTATTTTGTAACGTTTTTTCATTACCTCATGACGCTGACCACAATAGGTCAGCAAAATATTGTTAATATATTATTATATCAAAATATATTTAAAAAATAGTATACGCTGCCTTTTTCATTGAGATCAATTTATATATTTATGAACATATCGTATAACAAGAAATGACTTTTAAAGATTATATGTATATATAAATATATATATATATATATATATATATATATATATATATATATATATATATATATATACATATATATATATATATATATATATATATATATATATATATATATATAATATATATATATATATATATATGTATATGTATACATATATATATATATATATATATATATATATATATATATATATATATATACATATATATATATATATATATATATACATACATACATATATATATGTATATACATACATATATATATATATATATATATATATATATATATATATATATATATATATATATATATATATATATATATATACATATATATATATATATATATACATATATATATACATGTATATATATATAAATTATATATATATATATATACACACACACACATATATATATATATATATATATATATCCTTTTATCTCGTTTTGGTGAAACTTAAGGGTAATAAAATGAATTAATAGACTAAAGTGCACCCAAGTGATTTTACAGTTATCAAGAATCTGCTTTTCATCAAGCCTTCTACACTTATCACTTTGCTGATCTTCATTGTAACAACTTTGAGAAAATTGAATATTAAACCACCTAATGGAGACAAATTGAGTGTAAACTTTTTTAGAAATTAGTTGCGTTGGATATTGTCAAGAAATTTTATTGCAGGAGCTCTATAATAATGATAATTTAACTCAGATTTTGCATTGCCTTGGAACAAAATACAAGAACATACTAAAACATCTAAGGGCAGATAAGGTGGAAATGCAGTCCTCATGACATCCAGAACAAATTGTTGCATATCATGGCATGGTTTTAAGAATAAACGTTTCAAAAACTTGCGGTCCAAATTTCTATTTCATTATCGCTGACGAGGGAATGGATTTTGAACAGTCATCATTCTGTGTTTATTCTGTTGATACCATGTCTGTACATATCAGAACATTTTATAGAATTTTACAAACTTGCACATATCAAAAGTGAGAACATTGAAAATTTACTACTCATACACAGTATAGAAGCGGGGATTTGAACCTGCAATCCTACTGCTACAGCCAATAATAGTTCCGAACTTTAGCAGTGCTCTAACCAACTGAGCAACCCCAGCTCGGACTAATTAACTGAGCTACCCTGGCTCTAACCAGCAGAGATATCCCATACTCTATCCAAAAACTCAATAAACTTTGAGTTAAATAGACCATTTTTCTAATTGTCATAACTGTTTTCATTGTTATCATGGTAAAGTGTTTTAAAAAGATAATAAACAAAGACTTTTTAAAGTTATGAGAGCAATCAGCAGAAAACTTGGATTTTGTTACAAGACCAAGGATAAAAGGCTGTAAAAATCAAATGAACTTACTAAACTTATATTTTGCTCTGTATTTAAACCAAAAACTGTATGCAATTACGGACCTCTCAAAAATTTAGAAAATAGTTCGTTGATTTAGTTGTTCAAATATTAGAAAACATGAGGAATAAGTACAAATTTAGCTTGATTTACTAAAATATAAGTGTCAGCTAGAAAAATAAAAGCCTTTAACTGCCTAGTTTCTAGTCTTCTAATAAAGAAAAAATCCTATTAGTCTTTACTGCATTATCTCAAGAAAAACCCGAAAGGGCAACGGCGAGAGCAAGTTATCTGGAAAATCTGTATTACTAAGGAGCTTATGATTCTATTATTAACTCCATAAAAGATTGATTTTATCAACCAACGTTGATGCTATTTTCTCAAGCAGAGCAGTTTATTTGAAATTGGCAAGCAAACAGTGTTTAATCAATGAATTAAAAGTTGGAGATTCATTTTAATGACTTTGATGGTGATTCATTGGTTTTAGAGCTTCGAGTATTTCCAATAGTATATTCAAAAGTTAGCCCATCAACTTGGAAAAAGTAATTTACGTGTTAAACTTATTCTCACAAGAAAAATAAATATTATACAAAAATTGCCTTACTGTCACAACAATCATCCTGACAGCTGGTGCTACATCCGCAAAACCAGAAAGGTCATTTTCAATATTGAGAAGGAATAACATGGCTTTAATCAAGAAAAAACTTAGGTAAAAAAAATCTTACAATTATTAAATTTGATTGATCTTTATTGAATCAGGTAAAAAGATAACCATTTTACCATGTATATAACATATAGAAAAATCTTTCAAGGCCAATTCATGTAGAATCAAGTGTGATACTAAAAAGTTATGATTCAATCACTGAACCTCATGCTAAAAAGATATTAAGGTTATCTATAAAAATAAAACTGAAATTAACATTTAAAGCAGCTACCTTTACAATTGATGAAGAGCTAGTAGATAAGGAATGTGGGTGGACTTTTGGAAGAAACAAAGGCTCACTTTTCCTATCAACCATACTTTGTGCTTTTTTATTCAATATTTCATCCATATTTATGATAGTCCTATTGTGAAAAAATTTGAATGTCATGTAAACCTTAGGATCCAGATGTAACTTAAAAACAAGATCAATATTGAATCAGTGTTTCTAAATTGAACTCTATGGATTTATTTAAAAAAACCTTCTTACCACTTAATTAAATCTAGAGAAGTTAAGTATTCAAATAACTAATTTATATATTTTTAACTGCAATAAAAAAAGTCTTACATACACAAAAAATGATATTTGAAAGTATTATTTCTTATTAACTCTTTTAACACACACAGGGAACAGTTCTCATAACATAAATGTTCATTAGAAAAAATTCAGAGTATATTTTTTGTACCAATAATTTGGTAATGTATGTCAAAACCATCATAATATTATGGGTGTTATCATCTTGAAAATTGGGTTTTCTTATTTTGCATTATTTACATATAAATGTAAAATAAATATATAACCTAGAAAATAAATTAAAATGAAATATTTTAGAAAACCTTTCAACTTTTTCATTCCAACTAACAGCTAAATGACTATCTGAAAGATAAAATATATAGCTATAATATATAAATAAACATGCAGATAAAAAGATAAAATATATAGCTATAATATATAAATAAACATGCAGCCATGGCGCAGTGGTTAGAGATCTGGCTCAGAGCCAAGAAGTTGGTGGTTCAACGCCAACCAGAGCCCAATAAGCAACATTAAGCTAGTTAAATGCTCTTTTGCAGTGCTCTGTGATAAGACCATAAGAATTTCTGGTAGCACCATGATAGCATAAAAAAAAAATTAAATTTTCCATTATGTATTTATGTGAGATTTAATTTCTTATCTAACATTTGACTGATTTGTCAAATAACACTAATGACTGATGTTGAGCCAATAGCCACTAGTACCTTTTCCTTGCTATTACGATGCCCAAATTGTTTCTTCGATACACATTTTTATATGTTAAGAGTCTTATTTCATAATTATAATGTGAATAAAAAAATATATATTAAAAATTATCCTCCTTCTGACTAAGAGGGAGGATAATTTTAAATATTTTTTTTTAACCATGTTATTTTTCATCATGCGATTCAAAAAAAAAAAAAAAAAAATACCAACAATACCAACCTGGAAGATTCAAAGGTAATATTATATCATGTTTTTGTTTAACAGAATGGTATCTTTTACAAGGTTCTAAAAGAAAAATATTGCTGCATTTTATTTATTTCCTTTTTTCAAATATTTAAAAAATATATATTACCTAAACCTCTCTTTTTTTTTCCTTCCATTTTTTTTGCTCTCTTTAATATTAGTTCAGCTGTTGTTCTATTATTAATCCCCCTAAAAGTATTATTTTTTCTTTTTAATAAAAATATATATTTTTATATAATCCAACTAAAAGTATTAATTTTTCTTTTTAATAAAAAAATATATTTTTATATAATCCCCCTAAAAGTATCAACTTTTCTTTTTAAAAACAAGATTTTTTTTTCTTATATAATCCCCATAGAAGTAACAATTTTTCTTTTTTAAAAAAGAGTATTTTTTATATAATCCCCCTAAAAGAAACAATTTTTTAATAAAAATGTTTTTTATATAATCCTTATTTTTTTTTTATAAAAAAATAGCATCCAGCAAAACTTCAACTGTAACAATATATTGGTTATTTAAAAACTTACTATGGTATTAAAAACAACAAACCAATCTTTAGTAATAACATCAGTTTTTTGATCTTTTTGAGAAACATATCTTGCATTATTGATTGTTGCAACTAATTTTGGCAAATCATTGTTACCAATGGTTGAACAAGGTCTAACCCAACTTTTATCTATACATGAATGGAATACATTCTAAAAAAGACAATAGAAAAATATATCTAATTAATCGTAATGATTAATAAAAACTAACAAAAACAATAAAGATTACTTCAGATTGAACTGTTTTTAAAACATCTTTAGATTCTTGAAACCTAAGAAATATAATATGCATCACTATAACACTACATATAATAATGCTACAATTTATTTTCTCTACAAAAATTTTTTTTAAATTAATAGTCTGGAGACATAAAATATTCTATAAATTTGTTGAAAATATCTTTTACAAACATAGAATTGCAATTATTTTTTCAACACGTACAAAGATCCTATCTTTATTTATTAAAAATAAACTCAAAATAAAGTAACTAAACAAAACTAACTTTTGATTTGGCCTGTTCTCCATCATGCTATCAATAAATTCAAATTGGTTGAGATCCACTTCTTGATTATAATCAAAACTACTGTTACTTGAATCATCTTTATTATTTGAATCATTTTCATTATGTATTATATCTATGGAGTAATCTGTTTTTAAATCAGATTTAATATCACTCAGGTGAGTAAGGAAAGACGATTCAACTTTTGTATTCATTCTCATTGGATTTTCATTACAAATTTTCTGAGAAGAAAGACTATTGTTTTGAAAAGTTATTTTTGGCTTGTCATCATTTATATCTACAAAATTTGAATAAGCACTAACTGATTCTGTTTTTTTACTTTGAGAACTAAGTTTTTCAAAATTATTAAATAATAGAGTTTTTGTTGGAAAACATAAACTTGATCCTTCAGTTGATCTCTTTAAAACTATACATGAATCTTCAGATACTTTGCAATGGATATTTGGTTGGGAAAGATTGGATAACTTGTTAGATATATAACTTTTTAGCATTCTCTAAAGAAAATCAATTAAAATATTTGAACTCATAGAAAGAACTCATAGAACTTTATTAAATTTTTTGAAATGAAGAACATAATGTAAACTAGCATGATCCTCCGAGATTGACTAATTCATAGAGAAAAAGTAGACTACATAATTTACTTATTAAAAGATCTGGAGTAAGGTATAAAAAAAAACTTCTTATCAAATCGCATTGTTTAACTAGTTAATTGTACATGTGGCAGTTTCAAAGCAGAGGCAGTGACAATTTCAAAGCAGAGGCAGTGACAATTTCAAAGCAGAGGCAGTGACAATTTCAAAGCAGAGGCAGTGGCAGTTTCAAAGCAGAGGCAGTGACAATTTCAAAGCAGAGGCAGTGACAATTTCAAAGCAGAGGCAGTGACAATTTCAAAGCAGAGGCAGTGACAATTTCAAAGCAGAGGCAGTGGCAGTTTCAAAGCAGAGGCAGTGACAATTTCAAAGCAGAGGCAGTGACAATTTCAAAGCAGAGGCAGTGACAATTTCAAAGCAGAGGCAGTGACAATTTCAAAGCAGAGGCAGTGGCAGTTTCAAAGCAGAGGCAGTGACAATTTCAAAGCAGAGGCAGTGACAATTTCAAAGCAGAGGCAGTGACAATTTCAAAGCAGAGGCAGTGGCAGTTTCAAAGCAGAGGCAGTGACAATTTCAAAGCAGAGGCAGTGACAATTTCAAAGCAGAGGCAGTGACAATTTCAAAGCAGAGGCAGTGACAATTTCAAAGCAGAGGCAGTGGCAGTTTCAAAGCAGAGGCAGTGACAATTTCAAAGCAGAGGCAGTGACAATTTCAAAGCAGAGGCAGTGACAATTTCAAAGCAGAGGCAGTGACAATTTCAAAGCAGAGGCAGTGACAATTTCAAAGCAGAGGCAGTGACAATTTCAAAGCAGAGGCAGTGACAATTTCAAAGCAGAGGCAGTGACAATTTCAAAGCAGAGGCAGTGACAATTTCAAAGCAGAGGCAGTGACAATTTCAAAGCAGAGGCAGTGACAATTTAAGAGTAAAGATAAAAGTAAGAAAACTTAAAATAATTATGTAGCAGATTAAATAATAAAGCTTCACTTAACAAAAAATAAACAATTTTAATCATATCGGAAAACATAATATTTGTGCCATAACAAGAAACCATTCCAAGAATGCTGATAAACGTGGCTATTAAAATAATGACTGCAGTTTATATAACATAAATATTTATGCTATAAAAACTTATGTTGGAAAAATTTATGTAATGATAATTTATTATATTATGATGAGTTATGTTATATATATCTATATCTATATATATATATATATATATATATATCTATATATATCTATATATATCTATATATATATATATATATATATATATATATATATATATATATATATATATATATATATATATATATATATATATATATATATATATATATATATATATATATATTATATTATATTATGTTATGCAATAATTTATTATTATATATGTTATGTAATGAAAATTTATCGTGTTACGAATTTATGCTATGTTAAAAACTTAATTTAAAATAAAGTATAACTTATATATTTAGAATTGCATAAAGGCATAATGATATAATCAAAAAAATATATTTTAAAGCTTTCAAATATAAAAACCTGAATCTTTTTTGTACTACCAAATTGTTTAATTAAACATTGAATTTCAAGATCAATTGAGTTTTGGATTTCAAGATCAATAGAGTTTTGAACTTTAATATCAGTTTGTACAGTTATATCTTTGCTTTCATTAACAGCAATTTTATGAGCTTTTATATAAGTTTTCTCAGTCAAATCTTGAACTTTACTAACAGTAGCTTTCTGAGTTTTAACATTAGTTTGCTCAGATAAATCTTGAATTTTACTAACAGTAACTTTATTAGTTTTGACATAAGTTTGCTCAGTGTAATTTTGACTTTTATAAACAGTAGCTTTATTAGTTTTGACATCAGTTTGCTTGGTTAAATCTGAACTTTCATAAACATCAACTTTAGTTTTTACATCAGCTTGCTCAGTGTAATCTTTTCTTTTATTAACAGTGGCTTTCTGAGTTTTAATATCAGTTTGTTCAGATAAATCTTGAATTTTATTGATAGTGCCTTTATTATTTTTGATATCATTTTGCTCAGATAAATCTTGACTTTTATTAATAGTGACTTTCTGAACTTTAATATCAGTTTGCTCAGATAAATCTTGACTTTTATTAACAGTGGATTTATTGGTTTTAATATTAAATTTTTCAATTAAATCTAGACTTTCATTAACATCAACTTTAACAGTTTTGACATCGGCTTGCTCAGTGTAATCTTGACTTTTATAAACAGCCACTCTCTGAGCTTTAATAATAGTTTGCTTGTTTAAATCTTGACTTTTATTAGTATCAACTTTATCAGTTTTGACATCAATTTGATAATTTAAAACTTGAGTTTTAATACCAGTGGCTTTTTGAGCTTTTATATCAATTTGCTCAGCCAAATCTTGACTTTTATTAACAGTGGATTTATTAGTTTTGATATTAGATTTCTCATTTAGATATGAAGTTTCATTAAAATCACCATTAATTTTGATATCAGTTTGCTTAGTGTAATCTTGACTTTTATTAGGAGTGGCTTTCTGAGCTTTAATATCAGTTTGCTCAGTTAAATCTTGAATTTTATTGACAGTGCCTTTACTATTTTTGACCTCAGTTTGCTCAGTGTAATCTTGACTTTTTTGATTACCAGTGCCTTTCTGAGCTTTAATATCAGTTTGCTCAGTTAAAATTTGACTTTTATTAACAGTCGATTTATTAGTTTTGATATTAGATATCTCAATTAAATTTGGAATTTCATTAACATAAACTTTAGTTCTGACATCGGTTTGCTCAGTGTAATCTTGATTTTTAATAACAGAGGTTTTCTGAGCTTTAATATCAGTTTGTTCAGTTAAATCTTGAATTTTATTGACAGAGCCTTTATTATTTTTGACATCAGTTTGGTCAGTGTTATCTTGACTTTTAATAACAATGACTTTCTGAGCTTTATTATCAGTTTGCTTAATCAAGTCTTGAACTTCAATACCAATTTGATCATAATTTTGAGTTTCAATGTCCGTTATTTCAGTTAAGTATTGATTTTCCGTCATTTTGGCTGCATCTTTTTGAGCTTTACAAATAATTGTCCTGTGTGCATCTTTTTGAATTCCAATACCAACTCTTTCAAGTTTGCAATTTAGAGTTTTATTAGAGTCTATTATTTTAAATGGATCTTTTTTGATCAAAATGTCTCTTGGAGTTTTGTTATTACTTTTTTTAGATGTTTTTTGTTGAGATGCCACTTCGTTTCGATCAGCTTGAGTTTCAATAAAACTAAAAATATTTATAATAAAAATTTTTAATTTTAGTAAAATAAATTTCAATTGCAAACAATATATTTTAATTATAATATTTTTTGAAAGTATTTATAAAGTTCTTATACTTGATTGATTGAAAAAAACATTTCTTTTTAATTAAACTTTTAATTTACATTTATGTTTAACATCAAAATTAACAGGTAACAACCTAGTTCAGATTACTGTAAAAGGTTCAAATTTAAATTCTAAAAAGCTAAATCTAGAAGTATGATTCAAATTCTGCTAAACTACAGTTTAGAAAATCTTTAAAGCAAATACTCAGGTTTTGGTTTCCAGTCTAAAAAGTTTATTTAGAGCAAATTAAATTACCAAACACATTTTTGACAAACTTTATTAATTTCAGTCATATGTTGAATCGTTCTACTTCATAAAGTTAGTTGAATTTTGCTTTTTTTTTTTTTATTTTTTTTTCAATTTATATATTATAACTTGAATAGCCAGTGAATAATATATTCCCGTTAACTCCAAATGACCAATTAAAGTTTGACTTAAGGAAAGTAAACAAATGTTTTTGTTTTCAAAGGACTATCAAAAACAATTTGAAATAAAAAAAAGTTTGAGTTAACCAGTGTTCAACTTACCAATTAACTGCATATATTAAGAATTAGTAATTAGAATTATTAATTAGAGTACAACTTAACAGTTTTATTTTGTTATTTTTTATGTTAATTGATGTTTTTTGTTATTCAATTTTGTTTATTACTTAATTTAATTTTTTAAATATTATTTAGTTTAATTTTTATTATTTAATATTAAAGTGATAACATGAAATAAGTGTGAAAGTAGAAAAACAACTAAATAAAGGTACTCATTAACTTTTTTTTAGAACTAAGTATTAATTTTAATACAATAGTAAAAGAAGATAAATTATTTCAAAGAAAATAATATATTCCAGCAGACATCTAATAAAATTTCAAACTTTTGTTTTGATGGTATCCATAACCTTGCGCACAGAACAACAACCAAAACTATTTGATACTTTTTAAATGTCATTTTCAAATTTTTAACATTTCTCCATAGCTTTGATATGAGACAGTTGATTTTTACTATAAATATTTTAGTTGTAACCAACTGAAGTTTGACTTTGATGTGAGACTAATTATTTGTGAGGTTTTTTCCTCACAAATAATTAGTTGCAATTAATGATTAACAATAAATTGTGATTAATCATAATTTTCAGGATTAAAAGGTGCACAGGTGAGTAATTCATAATTAAAACAATCAGCATTATAATAATAACAATGTCTTTTTCCCTTTCTTGACATAGGTTCAATGATTTCTGAATAAGGCAATTTTTCAATACTTTTAATTTTGCTTTTTTTCTCCTGTAAACCCAGCTCCCTCATGTGATCCATCACACTCTTTCCCAGTTTTTCATACATCTGCACTTAACCTTTATTTCTAAAAAAGAATTGTAGAGCTAACTATTGTTATTATTACACTCTACATGCACAAACTATAGTGATATTTCCAAATCTCTTCTCAGTTTTATTATCTAATCATATATTCTAAATAGTAACAATAATCCACCACATATTACAAATACTACTTCAATCTACCCACTCATTACTTCTCTCTTTTTACCCCAAAATTAAGTTGTCCTAAAAGGTTAAATTGAAAATTTCTAATATGATAACATGAAGGCTTGGTTTATTCCATTAACTATTTAGCATCAGCACACACCCGATAATTGCAATTGCAGTTATATGGAAGACCAGGTGTTACTAAAAGACTTTTCACATTTTCATTATTAAAAAAACCATTTGAAATTTTAGCATCATTTAATTTAGTTATTTTAAAGCCTTATACAAAAAAACTAATGTCTACATGTCCAATGTAATCCATAAATGGAGTAAAATAAAATATAGATTGAATTAAAATTTTTTTTTGAAATTAAAAACATAACATAAAAATGAATTACACTTTTTGTCTATTTTTCAAAATAAGAATAAACAGAACATATCGGATGGATGAAATTATACAAAAAGTTACAAAGTT